GCAAGAACTTGCTGTCGGGTCCAAACCGTACGTTGGATACCATATTGAGGTGCCCGGGAATTGTGTAAGTACAATGCCGTTTTCTCAGGTCCCAGATCCGGATGGTATTATCCCCTGAACAAGTCGCCGCCTGATAACCATTGCTGGCAAAGTCTAAGCCCAGCACCTGCTTGACATGGCCACCCAGACTAACGATGGGCTTGCCAATCCGCAAGTCCCAGAGGCGGGCGTTGCCTCCCACGTCTCCGATGCCAGCCAAGGAGCCATGGGATGGAAGGCGACGGCATAGGTGCCACGAGAGTGACCGTCCTGAACCAAGACACACTTCTGTGTCGTCACGTCCCACAGACGCCACGTCGCGTCGAAGCTGGTTGTGCCAAGGAAGTGTCCCATCGGATGAAGCGCGATTCGACCTAAGCGTTCGGCGTTTCCTTGAGCTCGGCCAAGTGTTTCTTTGCTTCTAACGACCACAGACGACACGTCTTGTCCGCTGAAGATGAGGCTAGATTGAGCGCCCAAGGCGAAGTATCCAGTCCAGCTCCTGGATGAAATGCAACATCGATCGCTCTTTCGCTGTGCCCGTTCAACTCAAACGCATAGCTATCGTCTGAAACGTTTCGAACACATACTTCTCCAGCCCAAGAGCACACGGCGTACATCTGCAAGTCCATAGCAAACGCACACGAAGCCATGGGTCTCGTGGACCCTACCTCTTACTGACAACAGGTGAGACCTCTCAATTGTCTCAGCAGGTTGATATACTTTTGTCGGGCTTCTGGATCACGATTCTCCCGACGAGCTCTGGTCATCTGGATCCTCTCTTGCGCCTTTTGTAGGGACCATCGAGCAATACGCATTCTTGCCCGCACAAGTGGCTTCCCACCATCTACCATCATCACACTATCTTTCTCTGCCCGGCCACCGCCTTCACAGCACTCCATCTCAGTACCTCCCTACCAGCCTCTATCCCGACGAGCACATAACCCACCTCGTCGCTCCAATTGCTCTGGAGCACCATCACTGAGACCCCGGGCTACGCGAGCGGCCACCAGCTCCTTGAGACGTTCCCGTCTGCCAACAACATCTTCACCGAACAAGCAGACCGGTTGTGCCAGGTGGCGCAGGTGGAGGCGAACGCCTTCGTCGCTGGTCGCCGCCCGTACCGTACGCCTCAGCTTGCTTTCCTCCGGAGCCTGAAGCTTCTCAGCCTCCTTCCGCTGCGCCTCGGCCATCGAGGCCGACACCAGCACCTCCTGCTCGTCCACCTCCATGCCGTTCGATCAAGTTGGGCGCTGCGCAGTGAACACTTTCGCGAAATGAGCGCCAACGGTGCATCCGCTGCGGCTCCGTCGTTTCTGGTCTGGACGAGTCGATCTTGATCATCACAGGATCTGACGATATCTCAGTAGTAGTGGGATGGTGCAGATCTACATACACAGCAGCAGAGATATGGGATATTGTACCCTGTACCTCCTTCATAACCAGAACAAACGAAGATGCACGTGCCAAGGAGATACTTTCGCCTTGGAAGTAGAATCTGCTTAAATTAAGGGGGCACTTGATTTTGCTTCTAGCCTTGTTGGCTGGCGAGGTGTCAGTGGAAGAAGGAGCGGTTAGACACGGAATCTCTGGGGAATCCAGGGGTAGCCGATGGGAAATGGCGACCGCCCAGGTTTTATGGGAAGCGAAGAATGGGCAAGCTGTTTGCATTGTGTGAACGAATGTATGCAATGTACGATGGGCTTTCGACTTCGCCCACAGCTCATCTGAATGGGTTCCTGAAGAAGAACAAAGTGGTGGTAAATGAGCTCGGAGGCGAAATTGTAGTGCAGTTTCTTCGAACCATGTTGTGTGGCACATTGAGGCTTCGCGGCGTGATCGATGACTTGTTAGACAGAGGTTTCTTGACCGAGTTCAAATCTTTTGGAAGCGGTGGACATCGCAAGATTCTCGAGCTCGTGTCCTTCCTCAGCCTCGACCAACTCGCCTACTTGGAATGGGATATATTTCGTGATATCGTTGAGTCTGCCGCTCGAACACGAGCACCCGTTCTTGCTGAATTCATCAAGTACCTCTTCGTTGATGCTGTCCATTCAGGAATGCTACGAAACGTTCTCTCCTATACATGGAGTCTTGAAGCCATCGACTCGGACGTCCTGCCAATCTTCCTTCGATACCAGCCGGATGCTATAGGATTGTACCAGGCGTTTCTGGACGGCCAGATTGCCGGAGAGGCTGAAAAGAACGATGCTACAATGAAGCCAAGCAATTCAATCTCGAAACGAGATCCTTTCGAATTTGTAACCTTACCGATTCCGTTGAAAGAGCCTATGTGTCCCATCCCCAAGACCCTGGAACCCCAACACCGGCCAAGGCCTCGACCTCAAAGACTACCTAGGCTCCACTCCCAATCTGAGCCTTCTCTTACACCCGTCTCCAAGGTGATCTCAGAGACAAACACGCCAGAACACGACACAGGAGACGTTGTCAACCAGGAATCCAAGTCTCCAGGTCATCCGACCACAAAGCATTTGGGTCTTGTGAAGAGAAGACATCTTTCTCTGGCTAGCTGCCCTGTTCGACTCAATGCAGCAACCATCCAGCGAGCCAGTTCTCGTATTCGACGACAGCAGAGTCTGGACATGGAACGATGCCAGGACTTTGCAATCACGACGTTCGATGATCGTGAATTCAGGGAACACGCCAAGTCGCTCGAAGAGGAAGAAGAGAAGGCGAAGCTCGAGGCGGTTCGACGTCGACAGCAAAACACCAAATTAGAGCGTCTGCGTCTTCGATATCGGCTTCAAGAGTTGGCACAGCACAAGAAAGATAGCGCACGAAGGAGGCAACTCGACCACAATGCAATAATCAAAGAAGTCGACGGCGAGAAACGCCACGAAGAGGAGCACAAGAAAGAGCGCGCGAAGATCATTCGCGACCGGAAACTACTCGTAGACGAAGCTCGACATTTGATCGAAGAACGAAGGAAAACGGAGGCAAACCATCAGAGGGCCAACAAGCAGGAGAATCTTCGAAGGATACATGAAGCGAAAGAAGCGGCTTGTCAGGCAGCCAAGGAGAAAGCTCGTGAACGCCAAGCGCGTCAGCTGGTGGCAAAGTCCCAGACGGCCACTGCTGCTTTTTATGATCCCACGCTGCCTTCTGTGTATACCAATGACTTGATGAGTTCCAAATCTCAATGCCAAACCAAGTTCGAGCTGACGCAGCGCAATTGGGAGCGCAGGATGTGGCTAGAACATCGCAGGCAATCGATAATTGCTGAGCGGAAAGCTAAGCAAGACATGCTGGAGAAGCAATTTAGACTCGTGAAGGTGGTGCAGCAGAGCCAGAAAGAATCCATCGCGATGACGAAGGGAGAAGCGTATGGGGAAACACGACACTCCTTCACAATGTCACAAGACGAAGCAACGAAGCGCAATGAGCTTCGTGCCGAGTTCATCGAGAAACGTGTCGCTGAACGAACCCTCGAGAAACAAAGACTAAAAAGTCTTGCGAAGAAGATACGAAGCATCAAACTCGAACGAGAAAGGCTCTTTCAATCGCTGAACGAAGCCACAGAACGCGCCGGCCAAACCGCTGCGAAACGCAAGATAATCCAGCTTCAGGATTTCGATCGATGATGCCCATACTTGTGTATCTGGTTGAATTTCCTGATAGATTCGGTAGATAGAGTAGCCAGAGGATTGTCATTAAAAAGAGAATCAATGCCCAATGGACTTTAATGGTCTGTAGAGATCAGACGATATGAGGGCAGAGGTTTTGCACAGGAGCGCATCGCAGTGCAGTGCGGTGAGTGCGTTGTGACGCTTTCACAACTCGTCGACCTGATCGTTCATTTCTCAAAACCACTTGTTCCACGAGATTACGACCGCGGAGAGACCGGTAGAGCACGATGAGCAGCGCGAGAAGCAACGAATTCTACCTTCGGTACTACGTGGGCCATCAAGGCAAGTTCGGTCACGAGTACCTCGAGTTTGAGTTCTCGTCGGACGGCAAGCTGCGATACGCCAACAACTCTAACTACAAGAACGACCGCATCATTCGCAAGGAAGGTGAGCTGCAGGGAGAGGATCGAGGAGGATCAGGTCGTCCAGGGGGTCTCAAGGAAGGTCTTGGGCAGTGTACGTGTCGGATGAGATGCTGGAAGAAGTGGAACGAATCGTCACGGAATCGAGCATTACCAAGTGAGTGAGCTCTGGTTACTCGAAATCCCTTGTTTTAATCATGTACTGACCCGTGTGGATCATCTGATGTTCAGAGAAGACGACAATAACTGGCCAGTACCTGATCAGGCGGGCAAACAGGAACTTGAAGTGGTGACTGGTGACGAGCATATCTCGTTCAACGTGAGTGCAAAGCAATAATGAGTGGTTTCCTGCTCTGCTTCAGGCACTGACCTGCTATGATTAGACATCCAAGATTGGCTCGCTGATGGACGTCGAAGAGAGTTCAGACCCTGAAGGACTCAAAACCTTCTACTTTTTGGTCCAAGACCTCAAGTGCCTCGTTTTTTTCGTTGATTGGGCTTCATTTCAAGGTGGGCAAATTCATCCGCAGCCAGTTGTGCTGCTTGACACGATCGACTGACCTGAAGATTGTTTTGTTTGATATAGATCAAGCCCATCTAACGAGTGACCGGGTTGGAGTAGGGAGACAGGCAAACCTCGAAACGCAGCAAGCTTGGTAGAATCTACGAATGGATGGGCTTATCGTACGTGGCCATGGCTGCTTCGCGAAACGCTTCCGAAAGAGTCTGTCGAACCAGCAGAAGCAGTGTGCCATGATCAGAATATCGCTAAAAAGAACGGAACATCCTCAACGTGATCGTACCGGATGGGCGTGACGCACTCGAGCAATGTCCTCCGAGGATGCACCGTATTCCATTGCCAGACACCCCTCAGCGATCATTTCGCCAGCGTTCTACGAACAAGCCCTCAATCGATTTGCAACCGGCCTGTGTACGTTCAGACACACGCCGCTCACCGACGCAATGATGTGTAGACCAAGCACACGATCCGTTTCTTTGTCTGATAAGAACTTGACAAATCCGGTCGCATCACCTGACAACAAGAAACCATCACATCCAACAGCACAATGTATCGTTTCGACGCGACACACTCACCTGTCGTTCGCGCTCTGCTGTTCGCCATCATGTTGAATTTCCCCACATTGTAGGCAACGCCAGCTTCTTTCAACTCCTCCTCAGTCTTGCCTACCCAAGCAATCTCTGGATGCGTGTACACCACAGATGGAATCACATCGTAGTTGATATGCCCTGCTTTCCCGGCGAGCAGCTCAGCACATGCAATGCCTTCATCTTCAGCCTTGTGCGCCAGCATTGGTCCAGGAATACAGTCCCCAATGGCGTAGATCGATGGCACAGAAGTCTGGAAATGAGCATCGGTCTGAATTACGCCCTTCTCGTTCATCTTGACCCCTACTTCTTCCAATCCCATCCCTTTCGTCACTGGACGCCGGCCAATGGCTACCAAGACATTGTCGCATTCAAACGTCTCCTGATCACCTCCTTTTGCTGGCTCGGCCACGACCTTGGCACCACTCCCTTCACGTTCCGCGCTCAAAACCTTCATGCCCAGCTTGAAATCAATGCCCTGCTTCTGAAGAATTCTCTGAAAGTTCTTCGCCGTATCACTATCCATGCCAGGCGTGATCCGGTCTAGATACTCCAATACTGTAACTTGGGCACCAAGTCTGCCCCATACAGATCCCAACTCGAGGCCAATAACTCCGGCTCCAATGATGACCAGTTTTTCTGGGACTTTCGACAACGAAAGCGCGCCTGTCGACGACACAGTGACTTCTTCGTCGATCTTGATACGAAGCCCAACGTTAAAGACCGTCCAACATAGCTCCTCGCGTTTCGATCGCTTACCTCAATCCCAGGGAAAGGTGTCACCTCCGAACCGGTAGCTATCAGGATCTTATCAGCGGCGATTGTCTGACTTCCCCCTTCCAGAAGCTCGACCGACACCTCATTGGCTCCAGTGACTTTGCCAAAGCCCTTGACGTACTCCATCTTTCAATAAACACCAACAAGAAATCAAGTTCAGCGTTAAAAAGTCACATCGACTCCTTCATTTCCTTACCTTGTTCTTCTTGAACAAGCCTTCGATGCCAGATGTGAGACCTTCCACGGCATCCAGCTTGTTCTGCATCATCTGGGGCAGATCCACCCTCAAATTGTCCACTGCCCCAAGCGCAATGGATGTCAGCCCAGCGAAACGACATTGCCACCACCATCCAGCATAAACCCACACGCCACGCCATGGGATGCAAAGTTATGTTGCGCCTCATGGTAAAAGTGAGAGCTATGCAGCAGTGCCTTGGATGGGATACAGCCCACATTCAAGCATGTGCCGCCCAGCTTCCCTCGCGCCTCCACACACGCCACGTTCAACCCCAGCTGCGCCGCCTTGATCGCCGCAACGTAGCCGCCAGGCCCACCGCCCACGACCACCACATCTTTCTTGCTTTCGCTGCTCAGCCACCGCAGCGCCGCATTCATCCTGCTTCGCCGCCGCATGCCGCTGCCCATCATCCTCGCTGGAGTGTGTCGATGTGCGCTCTGTTGGTCCACTTTGATTGTGGTGCGACTTGCCGGGGCTACGCGTGCGAAAGCCGTTGCGCATTCTCGACTTTACGCATGCCGTGGACGCATTGCTCGCATTCTCGACTTTACGCATCCCGTGCGACTCTGGGCCACTCATACAACCAAATCACTCGATGGACGACACCAACGGCAACGCAGCCGCCCTCTGGCTCCTCCGCTGGATCGGCCGGCGCTGCCCGCCGCCTGACGACGCCGGCCGACGCAAGCTTCAACGAGTACTAGCCGCGTGCGAGACGGCCGCTGCAACAAGTTGGCAAGATCTCATCTGTCTGTGGTAATCATCATCAACGTGTGTCTCTTGTATTCTGGGTGGGGGTGTGTGTGGCTAGATGGTCACTTCGCCCTCGGCCAAGCGCAGCGCAAACCATTGGCGCAGAGCATCGGCAACGACGGACGGCAGGTCGTTCAAGCGACGAATCACAACGTAATAAGGGAACGGAAAGGTGTCCAGGTAGTTGTGGACCATCAGCTTACCGTCCAGCTGTGTTACTGTCTTGAGCCGAACGATCGAGGAGGCCTCCGGGCGAGGGTCAAGGATCACCACCACCGCCATACGCCCCTGCTCGTGGGCCAGCCGCACCTGTCGCAGCACCTGCTGCCGATCTTCCTGGATTCGTGCGTCTGAAATGATGAACAACAGCTGGTCGAGCGGGACACGTGGCGTATATCGCTCCCGTCCCTGCTGCAGCAGCCCTGTGCTGCACTTCAACAGCTCGATCCACGACGTGTGATCTTGTTGGAAGCCAAACGCGCCGCAAAACGAGGCGATCGTCTCGCCTGACAGCTCCTGAGCCGGCGCCAACTGCCGCAACACTTCCACCTGGGCACCAAACCGCAGCACTGCCAATTCACCCGCCTCCAGCCGCTGCAACGCCAACGCCATCGTGGCCGGCGCCTCCATCGCCAATCTGCCAGCGCCATTCTCGCCCATTGACTTGGAATCGTCGATGGCCACCACGATCTGAAACTCTCGTTTGCTGGGCCTGGTTCGTCGAAGCCAAATCTTATCGCGGCGAAAGTTAATCGCGATGTATGGGATCGCCCGCCGCATACTACCGAAGACACGAATTCATCGATCTCTTGCAGTAACAACACGACCATTCATCCTTCCCCGCCTACCTCAATCGCTTGCCAGTCCTGTAATCGCCTGCTAATCTCGAGCACACCGTTGGCTCCAACACCAGACGCAGCTGCTCACACAGCTCCATGGCCGAGCTCTCCACCTCGATACCCACACCCATCGCTTCACTCGTCTCCATTTCTATCGTCTCCACATCTTCCATCTGCACATCCGATGTCGTATCGTCTTCACAAACGTCTGCTTCCACCTCTTCATTCTTCTGCACTGCACCTACATACGAGGCACCCAGCTCAACCTTCGCTTCCTCGCCTTCATCCGCCTGACCTTCTTCCTCTTTCTCATGTTCTTCATCACGCGCAGCGTCCAGAACCTCGTCATCGTCTTCTTTCTTGATGGGACGCATTGGACGCTCAGAGGCACGAGCAGCAGACATCTTCGAATCGTTCTCCTCTAACGATTCGGGTTCGTTCTCTGCTTTAGGTGTGTCGCCTGCTTCGTCATCTTCGCCTTCAGGCGTTTCTGTGGACGCAGGAGCGGCTTCTGGCTCTTCTTGTTGTGCCATGGCGTCCTCTTCCATCGCAGCATCACCCATTGCCACACCATCAGCTGATTCGTCTTCTGCAACGTGCTGTACCAGCCTATGTTCATCAATCACATCCTCCTGAGATTCGCCTTTCTGCGGTCTAGAATCCTCTCCAGCACGTTCCGCCCATTCCGCACGCCGCTTCTCCCAATGCTTCTGCAGGTCGGCTAGGCTCTTCACCGACGATTCCTTCGTCGAGTCTGCCCTCTGGTCCTTACGCTGCCCGTCGTCTTCAGCACCTTCCATCGCTGTTCCTTGAGCGTCTTCTTCCTGCTGACTTTGCTGCTGATCACAAAGAGATCCAGAACCACCAGAGACGGGGTCAACGGCTTGGTCTTCTTCGTTTAACGTCGAATTCCCGGGTTGTTCGTCTCCATGGGGAACTCCATGAGCGTCTGCATCAGTCGACACGTCTTTGGAGGATTCTGGCGGCACTTGAGTGGCTTCTTCTTCGCCTTCCATATCCTCCTCTTGAGGGGCTTCTTCCCCGCCTCCTGCCTTTACTCCCTCTTCGTCCTCCTCCAGCTGTGGTATCTCTGTATCTTCAAAACCTTCGCGATTGTCCTGATCATCAGGAACTCCAGGCAGCTCCTCTCCGTCGCAGCTTTGGTGATCTTCATCTTCCTGTTGGTGCTCTTCATCGTCGCCCTCAGCCTCACCGAGGTCCATTTCAGAATCTAGAGGCGCCTCACCATCATCCAGATGGAGATCTTCGGGTAATTCGAGATCTTTGCCAATCTCCTCGGCATCGTTCCCTTCAGGCATTCCGTTGAAACATTCTTCGTCCTCCTGGCCATCAACAGCACATTCGCCCTCTATTGTAGATTCCTCTGGCTCTTGCTGATCCGGCAAAGAGTCCTGTTGAGGCTTTTCTATCGCCTTCTGCTGCTGCTTCTCGTTCTCCTCTGGTGGATTTCCTTACTTCGCCGCAATTTCATCGGATGCTCGAGGAGGGGCGTTTCGCTGCTTCTCATCGGCTCCTTCATCCTCGTCGTCACCATCAGGCTCATCTTCATTGTCATCTGGATCCCACAGCTGCTCATCCACGACTTGGTCGCGATCTCGATTCGTTTCGCCCATTTCACGATCTAACTCGGACTCGTCATCAAGGTCCTCATCCTCGCCTTGTTCCTCCTTCTGATCGTCCTCCTTGACATCGAACATTTCACCTTCAAACTCTTCAGTCATGTCCATCCCCGGGCGGTCAGCGTCTACTTCTTGCTGTTCTGGCTTGTCCGTTTGTTTCTCTTCTTCATCCGGCATGGAGTGATCGCGCAGACCCAGCAACTGTTCTTCGTCTTCGATTTCGTGACTCACATCTTCGACGCCTGTTCCTTCGCCCATGCCTGTTCCTTCACCCAGTTTGTCAACCGCAGTTTCATCCTCCAGCGGTTCTTCCTTGGGACGACAGAAACCGTCCTTCATCACACGCTCCAATACACTTGTTCCCGCCATCAGCAGCTCCATTACACTCGCCTGGAACGAACGCAAGGCACATCCATGCTCCAGCTGCTGTTCCAGACCTTCAAGCAGCGGTGCAAGTTCATCGCCGACCGTCACCTCGGCCATCTCCTCCACAAGACGTTCCACTTCTTCCAAATCGAGCGCGTCCCTTAACAGAAGATGCTCCTGCGTCAATGTATCCGTGCCCTGATCGGCTTCAGTCAGCCGCAACGAATGCTGAAGGACAAGCTGCAGCTGGCTACGGCTTCGATCGATCACTTCCGCTGAACAATTGAAGGGCTCTTCATCCGGTGCCCATGACAACACTCCAAAACAAAGATCTCGCAACGACACTACCAGAGGCACAGCCGATTCGTTGGCCAACAACTCCTCGGCCAACATCTGTATCTTGCGCGCCGGCGTCTCAGCTTACAATGTCGCTCGACCCACCCATCCGTCCAACAGCACATCCTTCCGAGGCAACATGGCCTCCTGCACCGATACCAGCGCCCAGCGCATCTGCCGGGCCATGAATCGCAGATCATCCGGCCGCTCGGGCTGCCGAAGACGCAGCAAAGCCACACGCAACGCTTCGGCGCGCCACAGCCACACCTGCTGCTCCAGCGCCGCCGCCAGCACCGCTTCGAGCGTTCCTGCCGCCCGCGCCGCCTGGGCATTGCTCAAATCACGAACCTCGCCACGCTGCTGCTGCTCTCGCACCCCTGCGACGCGTTGCAGCACGTCCATCAACGGGCCCGATGATCGCCCCAGGGGCACAGCAGGCAGTACAGCAGCCGCCGCAACCGTCCCAACGCCCAAACGACGCCGCGCAAAGGCTTCGTGCTCGGCCAGACCCTCGGCCCGCATCTGCTTCAGCGTCTGCACCAGCGCCCGATGCTTGACCGCCACGGCCTCGCCTGTCACCTGAGCCACGCGGTCCTGCAACGCCTTGGCTAGTGAGCGCACCCGGGCGCCAGCCGCGCCTCGTGCTGCTCGCCATCGCTCGCTGCCCACGCCGGCCGCCAGCACCCGCGCCACCGCCGGCTGCTGAGCGCTGCCCCGAACCGTCGGCCACGCACTCCGCCGCGCGCTGCGAAAGTCCGAAGGAACGGGCCGTGGCAAGTGTGGGTACGCCAATGTGAATGGTCCGGCCAACACCGAATTCCATTGTCGATAGAGTCGCGCCAGCTGCGCTTTGGTACGGCGCTGCTCCTCGAGATGCTGGTCACGCCGCTTCACCCGGTCATCCCAGGCCTGCAGCCGCAGCACGCCACGCAGCCGTTCCTGCAGCTGCTGCCGCTGGGCGTGGCGCCAGCGCGCCAGCCGCGCCTCGATCGGCGTGTAATACGCTACGACGTTGGCCAGAAGCACATCGGCGGGACGCAGACCGGACAGCACGCGCAGAAGCGCCAGCCGTGCTGGCCACTGGCCCACGGTCGAGCTGGCCAGGAACTGCTGCAGGAGCGGCAGCCGTTCCTCGTCGGCCCGCTGCAGTACTGCATGGAGCCGGGGCCATAGCTGCAGCGCTAGCCGGCCGTGCTGTCGCCGCTGCTCGTCCAGCGCGCTACGCCAGGCCTTCAGCTGGGCACGACGCCAGTGTGAAAGCAGTTGGTGTGCCCTGCTGAGCGCTGGTTCCAGCGAGAGGTCAGGACGACTTGAAGGGACGTAGTCGCGCTGCCAGATCTCGGCCAGGTGCACCAGCGTATCCAGCGCCTGGCACGCATCTTGGCGTGATGAACTCACGTGCAGCAGCAACGTCCGCCGCCTCACGCAGAGCGTCTGGTCCATCGCCTCGGCGGCAGCCTCCAGATCTTCCCATAGCTGCCCGGCTACTCGTGCGAGCGCTCGCTCCAGCGCCTGAGACGAGGATGATGAAGCCGTTGTGGCCAGCCGCCGCGCCAGCTGCCGCTGCTGCTCCAATCGATCCACCAGCGCTTCCACCTGATCCAGCAGCGTGTGCTGCCACATCTTCTGCAGCTGGATGGCTGCCGGTACCAGCGAACTGTTGTGGCTGCGGCTGTTGGCGAACCTCGCCAGCCATCGCTGCAGCTGCAGGCGGTTCCAGTCCCGCCAGCGGCAATGGGATCTGACAGGCTGTTGCTAGAAGAGAGGCAGCTGCTCCCGCCTGAGCAGCTGTCGACGCCATCAACAACAGCACTTCCGTCTCGGCACGATTGCCTCGCAGCAATGCCTCCTGCAGCGCTTCGTCTTCATCTTGTTGGGCGTCTACTTTCGTGTCCATAGCTCGAAAGGCGGCCAGCTCCACATCGCGAAGACTGTTCATCGTAGCCTGGAGCGTCGTCGTCCAGGGCTGCTGCTCACCATGATGGTCAGCGAAGCACCAGGCGGCCGTACTATCTGCCTCAGCAAGCAGTTGTACACCCCCTGGCACCAGATGAATGGTGTCACGACAGCCACGAGAAACCTGCTGTAGCATCTGCAGCAGTTGCAGGGCTTGGTGTGAGCAAGGAAGAGAAAGACGAGGTCGATGATGCCATAGCCATGATGCCATGGTTTCTTTCATGTCCACAAGGCCAGACAATTGGGCCAGTTCGTCCACTGCCCGACCCAACGCAGAAGTGCTTTCCATCACAGGAAGTTGATAGCCTGTGAAGGCATGGGTTAGCTGCTGCTGAACCTGACGATACGAGAGCGCCATCTTGACGAGTCTTGCATCCACATCTTCTTCTCGTGCGTCGTCAAGACATTCGTTCCTGGCACCGCTCTCTCTCACGAGGCGAAGAGCCCAGTCCAGAAACGTCAATGAAGCGGCTTCAACAGCAACAGGGTCGGTTTCATCGCGCTTTTCCCACATGATCTGTGGATCCATCGTAGAGATCACCTGAAGCAATCGCTCGAGAACTGTCCGTGAGATACCCTTCGACATCTCCTGCACCAGCTTCTGAACAACCAAGGTGTGCAACGCTACCACCCGAACGGTCAATGCAGAAGTCGAGAGAAGATCTTGACCGTCGCCGACGAGCAGAGAAGCTCTGAGCCAATGGCCAGCGACAGGAAGTCTAGGAAGCAACCGAGACACAGCAAACATCACGAGACGTTCGTCCTGAAAGTACTGCAGGAGTTCCGTCGTAGCAAACAGATGATGCTCCAAACTCTGATCCCAACTAACCTGAAGCGCTCTGCACACATGGCTTGTCGTCACCGATACGACCGATTGCCCTCGATCGCAGCTGGGCATCGAATCGATCCACATCTTCAGGGCACGTTCGCCACATTTCTCGGGAAACGCCCTCAATGCCTGACGGAGAGCTTCATGTGTTTCGTTGTCCAACTTCTCTCCTTGCACATCGAGTGAAGTCTGCGAAAATGCCTCCACAATCGACTGCTCGTCATTCCAACCATGAAACAACCCGAGATGGACGGCCAGGCTGCCCCACCGCAGCTTCTGTCGAAGGGGCCTCTGAATATTCACCACCCACTCGCGAAGCTCACGACCAGCGACCCCTCGAGCAGCTAATAACAACCCAGTATCCACGTCGGTCACGAAAGAATCACTACCAGAGAGGTGGATCTCTACACATCGATTTCGCATCGCTTGTGAAACGTGGCCCAAGGAAGGATCAGCATCAAGGAACAATCGAAAATCGGGATGTGCTTTCACCAATTCCTGATCGCCTCCACGTTCGCTTACCACAAGCCCGCCCGCGCCGTCCAGCAAAGGGTTCAGCCGATCCAGAACAGAAGCGTGGCAGCGGTTCGCCCCATCCAACAAGACCCATTCACCACGCTTCATCGCTTCCATCAACAACCCATCGACCCATTCGTAGGTACCCGCCGCTAGTCGTTCAGGGTCAATCGTAGCAGATGACACACCCAACACACCTTCCAAAGCCTCGAGCATTGTCAGAGCCTTCGCCTGATCCCGCTCTTCGATTGCATTCTGAAGCGCCGCCCAAATCTGCAGAGCGGCCTCCCTTCGATGAGACTCCAGCTCGGTAATCAGTTCCATCAGCTCAGAGCCTCGACGACGAACGTGGCGCCATACATCCGCCTGTTCGAAAGACCCAACCAGCTCAGAGGCGTCTGCCTGATCAGTGAGCGTTAGCTGGTGCAGCTTGACGCGTCGTAGCTGTGCCAGCGCCTTCGCCGCCGACGTCTTGCCCGACGAAGGGCCACCCACCAGCAGGACAGACCACTGCTGCAACACACACATCGCCATCTGCTCCAGTAGCTTGTGCAGCCCTTGCAGCACCACCACCGAAGGGTCTGCCTCAATCACGCCGAAATGACTTTCAAACGCTCGTTTCACCTTCTGCTGCAGCAGCGCGTCGCCCAGACGGGCGTACAGCAGCTGGGCTCCGGGCCACAAGACCTTTGCAGAGAGATCCTTTGAGACGCCGGCGTCCTTCTTCAAGAGCGCTGCCCAGCGCAGCAGATCGCGTAGGTTGAACTCGAAGCCGGCCGGGGCCATCTGCTGCACGTGGCGGTTGAAGGCAGTCATGGAGACGGCCATCGCCGGCGAGAGATGAGGAGCGGCACGAAGCAGAGCGGCTTGGAGATCTTCCTGCTGCAGAGCACCCAAGTGAACCTTGACAAATCGGTTCAGGAAGGATCGAGGGAGACTCTTGCGTCCACCGCCCATGACCACCGGATTCTGACAAGCGAACAAGAGGAATGAATCAGCGCAGACAAACTCACGACCTAGCTGGGGTAGGTACACGCGGCGGCGGTGGTCCAGAATGGCGTTCAGCCCTTCGAGTACACTTTGTGATGCCAGGTTCAGTTCGTCCAGCAGTACCCAATCACCCTGCTGCAAGGCCTGCAGCAGCAAACCATCGCGCCAAGCAAACTCGCCTGGTCGACCCCCTTCCACCGGCAGATCGGTGCCTAGCAGCTCGAGCGTATCAGTTTGTTCGCTTAGATTAATGCGAACGAGGCGACGCCTTGCTCGAGCTGCCAGCGCAGTGATAAGAGAAGTCTTGCCCACGCCTGGAGCGCCTTCCAGCAGTACGCCTCGCGTATCAGGGCTCTGCATCGCCCGCAGCACTCGAAACAGGTTCGTCTTGGTGGTCATCGCCTCGAACGAAAACTGCATCATTACACTCGGGTCCACGTGCTCTTCACCTTTAGCTAAGCGAAACTCGCCTACTCCAAACCATTCTGCATCATCTGACCATTGCAGAGCTGGCGGGTTCAGCTGGGAGCCAGTACATTCTTCTAGTACTGAACGTGCTTTGAGCTGCAGCTTGACGGCCGCTGAACGAGCTGCGTTGCCTCCAATACCCACGCCATCGAGAACCGCCAGCTCGGCGCCGTTCCAGAAGATCTGTTCAAGTTCCGCCGGTGATACTTCATCAACCGCCCGCCCTTGCGCTTGGTGATTGCAGAAGCGAACCCAGGACAACACATCGCGCAAAGACAACCGGTATCGCTCCTCGACAGCAACCTCTTGGTTGAATCGCCGAGCGAACGTCGACAACGGCTGGGCGAACCGCTGCATCGTGGACGTCAGCATCTGCTGAACGATGGTAAGCAGCTCTTCGGCAGAAGGTGCATCCACCACCGAGGGTACCCAGATCTCAGTGAAGCGATTCCTCAAAGCAGCTGACAATTCTTTCTTGCCAAAGTCACCGCCAGGATTCATGGTAGCCACCAGATGGAAGTTGGCGTGAGCCTCCACTACTACCTGATCGTCAGTGCCACCTTTCTCGGCCAACACCAGGCTTCTCTCGGGCTCCAGCACCGAGTTCAACCGCTCCAACACAGCATCGTCTGCAAGCGAGATCTCATCCAGCAGCAACACTTCACCACGCCGCATCGCCTGCACCAAAGGACCATCTTGCCAGGCGAATCGTGTCTCACCTTGGTCACGAACCGGGCGTACGCCGCCCAGCAGATCAGCCGTCTCGGTGTGCTGGTGCAGATTGACGGCCACCAATGGCAGGCCCATGGCTTGCGCTGCCACAGCCGCCGCCGTTGTCTTGCCAGTACCTGTAGGTCCCACCAATAGCGCCGGTTCCTTCCGCGCCAACGCCTCGTGCAGCAGCCGCGCCATCCTCGCCAGCGAAGCGGTCCACGAGAAGCCTGGCGGCGGCGCCGCGCCGTCGAACACGCCCTTGTCCAGCACCAACGGCGTCTTGCAGTTCCTATGCAGCACTTCCGCCACCACCTGGCGCTGGCGCTCACAGCGCAGGCGCTCGCCCAACACACTAAAGCTGGGCGGCCAAGGCAGCGTAGGTGTCAGGACGGCGATTGGCCCATCGGAAGAGGTCGCGAGGCGTCACCAGAGCCGTCTTGGCCGCGAACACCTGGTCATGGCGGCGCAGACGCTGCAGCTCCTCCATCACGTGCACCATCGTCCGGCAGAACGGTGGCGCCAGACCGCAGCCCTGCAGCAGGATCTGTTGCAGCTCGGCGGGAGGCAGGGACTGCACGTGCAGCTCCACGAAGCGCGACCGGAACGCCCTGGAGAGCGGGTGGCGCCCACCATACTCGCCGGTGCCAGCCGGGTTCTGTGTGGCGAACAGACGGAAATTAGGGTGTGCCTGGAGCACCTGCTGTGTTTCAGGCACAAACAGTTCACGGTTCCCATCCAGCAGGCGATTGAGCGCTTCCAGTACATCGCAGGGCGCCAGGTTGAGCTCGTCGAGCACCAGCCAATGGCCGTGCTGCACCGCCTGGGCCAGCAGACCCGGCTGGAAGGTGAGGCGGCCGGTCTGGGCATCGGGCTGGTAAGCGCCCAGGTACTCTTGTACATCGGTGTGCTGGTGGTTGTTGATTCGTAGTAGACGATGACCAGCGGCACGTGCCACATACTGTGCCAGAGCTGTCTTGCCGGCTGATGTGGGCCCTTGCAGCAGTACCGGCTGGTCGAACATACAGCACAGTTCGTCCAACCGCTGCTCCACCGAGGGTGTCGCCACGAACTGCGGTGAATCTTGTGGAGGAAGAGGTCCACGAGGCAACCAGCAACCTTGCGCAGCAACGAAGCGCTCGCCAGGGCAACGAGCGACCCGTTTGTTGAGCTGTCCAGGCTTGGTGATCCCATGAGGCATCAGTAACGCTGTCTGTAGCAGCGGCCACAGCAGGTCACAGGAAGCATCGTCGAGTACCGAGAGGAAGGTCACACCAAACGCATCGTATAACGCTCGAACAAACCCCAGCGTGGTGTGGCGCTTGGCTACATAGCTCAGCGCTCGACACAACGAACGAACGCTGAAATGACACGGCTGTCCACTTCCATCCACCACCTCTCGCGAGACACTCTTCGCGCGAATGGCCAGAAACAGGTCCACCACATTACCGCAGGTAAACGTCGAGGGTCGAGGATGAGGCAACAATTGTTGCGCCAGGAGCATCAGATCACTGCGGTCGTCTTCGCCCAGGTCGTTGATGAACAGCTCGGTGAAACGGCCGCGAATGGACGCTGGCAGACGCTTCTTGCCATGATCAGAGGGAGGATTCACGCAGGCTAGCAGACGAAACGCAGGGTGACGAGGGACTGGAACTAACTCTCCCTTCTCTAGCAAGATCACTGATCCTTGCTCGCTGTCTTCCAGCATGCTACTCAATCGCTCCAGGGTCTCAGCGGACGCCAGGTTGATCTCGTCCAACAACAGCCATGAACCTTCCCTCAAAGCTCGCACCAGCGACCCTTCGAGAAAAGCAAAAGCCATTCCCCCGCCTTGCTCAACGTGCAACACTTGCCGAGCAAAACGTTCCAGATCCTTCGCAAAGCACTTCCAGGCATCTTGTAACTCGCTGCTGGTCTGCTTGCGCCGTTTGCTGGCGTCACCAGTGCTCTGGGCGTCAAGCTCGAAGCGCTTGAGCACGGTCTCCACCACGTTCTGCAGCAGCTTGACCACTTTGGACCAGTGGCCCTTTCGGTAGGCCTCGCGAAGCGATTCGACAAAGGTAACGTTCGAACGACGACTCAGCGTACGAGGGAAAAGCTTCCCAAACGTGTTCAAGAGCGGCGTACAGGTAGCCTGCAAGTTCACAGGACGGTACCCCCATAAGATCGTCCCCGTCACTGTGCTGGTTAAGATTGTGCATTGTGCACAATCAACTTGTGCTGAGCACGAGCAGCCAGTTCCTGTACAACCGCAGTCTTGCCAATCCCAGTTTCGCCACATAATAACACAGCTTCGTTTCGTGTTACCGCCGCTGAAATGGCCTCCAAGGTTTGCTTGGTGTGCACCGTGAGCACCAAAGACGTCGTCGATTGTCCAGGTGAAGACGATGGGATAGCAGGAATCGGACGTAGATCGGTGGCGTTCCTCATGATGTCGCCTGTGCCTGTGTGGAGATGCCACACATGAGCGAACGCTTGTTCGGCCAACGACCATCGCTCCTGCTTCGAGCAAGGCGAGGCAGCCATCAACACGTCATAGGCTTCGGCAAATACCTTCTGCCGCACGTTCTCGTTGAGCGCTTCCATGTGGCCTGAGCTGGACAGATATTCAACCGCCCGATCGCACAACTTGAACAAATCTCTAGTGTTGGGCTGCCGCCAGCAACGATTTCGCTTCCGCAACGTTTGCTTGGCAGCTTCGAAAGTGTCTAGCAAAGCTCCAGCAAAGGAAGCCTGCGAAGAGTACTTATGCTCGATAATCTGGCGGAGGTCGTTGGGTTCCAGCGAGTTCATTCGAGCAACTGCGCAAAGACTTCGTAGTATCTTCATGGCTGAATGCGCTGGAGTCGCCCCATTCATTGTTGTGGCGGTTAAAATAAGGCGGAAACCAGGTGCAGCCTCAATCATCTCGCAACGTCCTGGGATTTCCAAGCGTCGATCTTCCAAAAGAGGCCTCAGCGTACACAGCACATCGAATGGAGCGCGATCGATGTTCTCCAGAATCAGCCAATGGCCGAGTTTGAGCGCCTGGACAAGAGCACCCGGACACCACTGAAATTCCCCAACCGTCTCCCCACAAATGTACGTTCCAATCAACGATCGGCTATCGATCTGCTCGTCCATATGCAAGCGAACGACTTGTTGGGCTGATGGATTGCGCGTGGGACCCACTCCCCACAACTAACAGCAGGCATCGATCAACAGCGACTTACCACAGCCTTCAGGACCTTCTACGAGCAGAGGAGAGGAGACGCACAAAGCAGAGTCCATCATGTGAATGGTGTTCACGGCAGTTGACAACGATACTAGCTCGTTAAAGCCAGAGAGAGGCCGCTTCAGGAAAGACTTGGTAAACTCGGGAGTAGACAGATCCTCTCGAGGCTGATGCCAGACGCGCATAAAGAGGGCATCGATCTCATTGAGTTCCTCTTGGTCTTCCTTTTGCGCGCTTGAGGACACAATCGGCTTCTCAATGCACATTTCCATTGCTAAGAGCGCGAAGTAGGCCGTTCGCTCATTTGATGACGAGGTCATTCTCACGAGAGGCGACCAATCGACCAATGGCCGAATTCTATGGCCGATTAAACGAAGCAAGTGCCACGAGATAATCGCCCTTAAGCTGTCAAGCGTCTCATCACTCGACTGCTCGCGTAGCCATCCTGTCTTGCCATGACAGAACACTGTGGCTTCATCCACAAGCGAAGGAATGACGGCTAGTGCTCTCACGAGCCTCGAACAGGCCCAAACATAAGACGCATCGCGAGCCGGGTGGCTTTCCCGGATAGCACGGAAGACCGTGGCCAAATCCAAAGGGAAGGCTGCGATAATCTCGTCCTCCACGCCTTCAAGACTGCCTTCCTGCAGCATAAGCGCAGACAAGCAGCGTATCAAGTCCAGGTCAGGAAACACATCCAGCGTATCCGCCAGGTCTGCCAGCATGGTGTGTGCAGTTAGCCTATCCAACGCACCCATCAATCGGTTGCTCTTCAAGTCCAAGCACTGCGCTCTGAGCAGCTCTAACGTCTTCTGGCCTGCCTCGCCTCGGCGAGCAAGCCGCAATAGCCCCACCGCCAGCGATTCGCTGCGATGAGACGAGGATCCACCATCGTCGGTGGCCACGCCACTGATACGGCGGTCTGCGAAGCTAGACATCAATGATTGATTTGCCTCGCCGTACACCGACGAGGTAAATAAGCAGAGTGACCTCTGCACGCTGCGGTCGATCTGGGTGATTCGCTCCCTTCACGGCCTCATCGCGTAATGCGCGTGCAATGTCCGCCGCGCACTACTTTACGGATGCCGTGAACTTCGGATCGACCGCCGCGAAATGTCGGTTTTACGGTATCCGTACGGCAGTGCGCCACGCACTTTTGGGGTGTGCGGAGCGGTGAGAAGAGGTGGAACGAGCGCCAGATCACTGGGTTAACTTATTCGTCAATTGCATCGAAGAGCGCGACCAGGATGGAAGGGACCAAGGGTGGCTCGAGTGTGTTGGAACTAGCTACTGACCAGCTGCTGGGAGTTGTCGCTGCGCCTGAAGTGGCTGTGCGCCGCGCAGAGCTGATTAGTGAGGCAATTCAAGCCCTTCATGGCGCCTTGAGCGATCTGAGCGAGAAGACGATCTCGACGAAGCCGAACGAAAGCGTTGGGGGAGTGGCCATGGGTAGCGAGACTGTATTCATGAAGTGGTTGTGCCCTTCCAATATCTTCGCGGTAGGAGATGTGCACGTAGCGGCATCGACCGGCGAAGACGCGGCGATTTGTGTCGAGATGCCTGCGAGGATGGTGTTTGAGAAAGACCATCTGAACATGCGTTATGTTCGCAAGAGAGCGTTGTTTCTTCGTGAGATCCAACGAAAATTGAAGAAGCATGATGCGTTCAGTCTGCAGTGGAGACGCTGTGAATATCAGATGAAGCCCGTCTTGGTGGGCGATTACAAGGACCAGAAGCACGAAGGACAGGTTCTGCGTCTTATCATACGAACGTGTGTGAGATGTGAGTACTTGAAAGAACGACGTATCGCGCCAAAGCGAAATGCAGTACGACTTCCCGACCCAGAGGAACCTACGCCTTTTTATAACCAATTGCTGCTCGAAGACATGTGTCTATGGACGAATCACGAGAGTATCGTGGAGCATATGGAGGAGTCACCAGTGTTGATGAAGACCTTCGTGCTGATCAAGGTGTGGCTCAAACGATGTAATACGTTCTCTTCGACGGGACTTCGTACTCTACATGTCCTGCTGTTGTTATCATTTTTGCAAAGAAACAGAGTGATCATTCCTCAGATGAACTGTTGGCAGGCGTTTCGAGCGTTTGTGACTTGGTTTTCCTCTAAAGTGTTAGCAGGAGGCGTGATTCGCCTGGCCAGCGATGCAGTGCACCAAGAAGATGAAGGATTCACCGATATGGCTTTCACTCAGTGCTTTCCAATGTCTATCCTTGATTTTACCGGTTACGTGAACCTGTCGTTCGAATGGTCTCATTCCTATCTCGCCTTTCTGGAACGAGTGTTTGCTGCTTGTGCTCAGCGAATTGCAAGTACTGAACTCTCTAGTACCGCCCAAATGCCGCTCTTCCAACAACTGTTCCAGCGTCAACGCGCCTGGATGGGAGGTTCTGACACATTTATCAAGATTGATGTGCGACAAGCTCGTTCCATCAAGACTAGCCGCATTGAAAAGGCCTCTTCAGATTGCACCAGCGCCCGTTTCAGACGCGATGAGCTGGTGTGGAACGCTCTAACGAAGGGATTGGGCAACCGAGCTCGTTCCGTTTGTGTTCTGGCCTCAGACGCCCGCCAAATGCTGATTGGTATCTCTCTGGACCCCAATGAAGCCTTTCGTACGCTCGATGTGGGGCCGTCTTCAGATGAGAAGGAAGCTGCAGCTGCGTTTCGCGAGTTCTGGGGCACCAAGAGCACCTTAAGGCGGTTTCGAGACGGCCGAATCTGTGAAGCTGTGTTATGGCAAGAAGTCTCGTCGCAAACGAAGGAGCTAATGGATATCTCTGTGCTGGAACAGGTGGTAACTTTTGTCGTGGATCAACACGCTGATGTAGACGCTTCCTGTGTACAGGTGCTGGGCCATCAGCTGCAGGAACTGGTACAGCGCCCAGGTACAGAGCTGCAGGATATCACGCTGGTCTGTCAGCAGGCGCTGGAGAAGCTTCGAACGGTGCTGATGCAAGACCCTGGGATCCCTCTGGCCGTTCGTCAGGTTGAATGTGTCCATCCACTGCTTCGAGGCTGCAGCGTTGTGCTACCTGAGCGCGAGCAGAGTGTCCAGATGAGGAAATGGAAGCACCGGAAGTGTTGCCAGTTGTGATTCAATTCGAGTGTTGCCAGTTGTGATTCAATTCGAAGCCTCGAATCGCTGGCCGACACATCTCGATGCCATTGAACGGGTGAAGACTGCATTCTACTTACGAATCGCTGAAGTTCTCCAGCAGCAAGGATGGGCGGCTCGTGCCTCTCTAAACTTCGTGGATGTGATTGCTGAACACTTTATTGCCTTTCGATTGGTGTTGTTCCATGAAGGTGAACTGAAACTACGTCAAGCGGCCATAGATTTCCCTGCTCATGCGCTAAAGCTAAGCGACCCAGGCAAGAATCGCTTGTTGCTACGATGGATGAAACAAGACTTGGTGGAGAAGCCTCGTCTGTGCATTGAATTGAAGAGCTTCGCGCTGCAACACCCATCATTTGCTGCCACAGTTCGTGTGGTGAAGGCGTGGTTGGAGGCACATCGTCTGGCCTTGTTTCTATACGATGAAATCGTGGAACTAATTGTAGCCTATTGCTTCGCCAACCCTGCTGTGCCTGCTCTTCAGGCGCCAGCCTCCGTCTTGGCAGGGTTTTGTGCTGTGTTAGATGTGTTAGCAGGGAAGGATTGGGCTCATGAGCCGCTCGTCGCTGATCTTCGTCAGAATATCAGCGAAGAAGAGCACAAGGTGATCGAGGAGCGTTTCAAGAACAAGACTACTGACCTTCCGGTGTTCATCGCCACCAAACGTGATTTCGATTCGATGTGGACGCAATGTGCTGTACTGGACCTGGGCTTTTCGAAGAAGCTGTGGAAACGCGTGGTGTTGCTGGCCAAGTCCACGTTGAAAGCGATCCAGACCGGTCTGGAACAGCCTTGCAGCAAGATGTTTCCCTGGAAGACGTTGTTCTGTGCCTCAACCAAGCCTTTCGATCTGTTGGTTCATTTGGACACCAAGTTTGTTCCTCGACAACGCTTTCGAGTATTGAAGCAGAAGAACAACACCACTGCCAAGCACAAAATGTTGCAGACAACGAAGAATGTGAAAACAGCACCGCCGCCCAAGGGGATTCAACTCGAGGCTGAGCGTCAGCTTGCCATTGGATTTGATCCTGTGCTTTATTTGATGAACGATCTTCGCTCGACCCTAGGGCACGTAGCTGACTTCTTCGTCGATCGATTGGGATCGGCTACGATTTGTGTACAGTTTCATTCGGGTGCTGGTTCGTCTTGTCGACTAGCCCTAGGACAGCCAGCATCTCAGCAGGCGAACAAGGTAAGTCAGTGGGTATTGTTAATAATCTGAAGAATCGAAAGGACCGAACTGATCTCTGCTGGTGTCATTGTCTAGTTGGTATTAAACCTCTCTGAAGTGGAGCAGACGATTCTCCAGCTCGGCGAAGGGTTGGTGAAGAGCATCACCAAGCCAGTCGCTTAACCAACTGATGTTACTTCATCTTCAATCCAAAGTGTTCGCAATTTGATCCCAGAGATTTCGCAGGTCTGTCTTGATCATCGATCCCGATCTCGTGCTCGAATAACGTTTCCGAACCGGGTTCTTCTCTATACTGTCGCTTCTGTGCTGAGCATTAGAAGCGAACTGAAAGCCTTGGATACAGTTGGTGCAGGTGGGAACTTCTTCATCAAACCCAAACGAAGAAGGCAACAATGCCGGTTGGATGCATTGTTCACAGACCTGACGACCACAGCAGTGACACCAGAGTGGACGACGACCCATAGAGGCGAATTGGCGACGACAACAGGTGCAGAACGGAATGGCTTGATCAGGGACCCAGCCCAGCTTCCTCTTCGATTGATAGGTCTGATAATTCACCAGACACTTGCGAAGCATCTCGCCT